AGGATACTTTTCAAGCTGGCAGCATTATAAAATGATACATCGTGAAAGATACACGAATAGTTAGTGAAATGCTTTATGCTAGATAACACCACAAATGTAACGTTATCATGGTACGAGCATGGAGCGTTAGTTCAACGTCAAGCTGATAAAAGTAGCCTATTATTGTAACGTTGCAGTGGGAGTACACAAGTTTCCAGCATGTTGTGTGATGCTTTCTCCGGTGTGTTGAAAGTCTCAGTGTGGCCGGTACCATGAGTGCTCGCTTTTGTGTTCGGGCACGAGCGTTCTTGTAAAAAATGGTTGCAATCTGAAACATCACCGATAGAGGCCGCTAAAAAATACATATAGCACCTTTAATTTATAAAGCACATTTACACACCGCATAAAACTGACCAAAGTGCTGTACAGTGAATAACTAAAAAGACAAATAATACAAAAAACACATGGGATCAATTGTCATAATTACACAAAACAAGAATAAAAAGGTAGATCGGATCACGAGTGGACGACACTGAATACAGATGTAAACGTGTCTTAAACGTTTTGAGCTCGTCCACTTTCACCACTTCCAGAGGGAATTAAAAACGCATCGAATGCGATTTTTGACCCGTTTACACCTGTATTTAGTGTCGTCCATTTGTGATCCGATCTACCAAAATACATCTTAATACCAGCTGTAAAAAGGGCTCAAAAGGGTGTGTTTGTAAAAACTGTTTAACTTTGGCAATTGGTTCAAGATTAAACCGAAACGGAAAAGCAATATCAAAAATGAAAAACAACAGGTACTGTATATGAATATATATTAAAGTAATATGAAAAAGATAAACAACTTGAGTTAAGTGCAACACAGATTGCATTTGAGATCAACTTTTTATGTTGTGCATCAAAGTACATGTAAATAGTTCTTAATAATAATTGCATTCATGGAAAACTGCATGTAAATAGACGTGAAGAGGTTTGCTTATGATGTAAATGGTAAATGGACTGCATTTATATAGCGCTTTCACAGACCCAATGGCCACCAAAGCGCTTTACAATTTGCCTCACATTCACCCATTCACTCACTCATTCATACACCGACGGGCGACGGCAGCCATGCAAGGCGCCATCCAGCTCGTCGGGAGCAGCTGGGGTTAGGTGTCTTGCTCATGGACACCTCGACACTTGGTCAGGTGGAACCGAGGATTGAACCACCAACCTTCCGGTTTTTAGACAACCCACATGAACCACTGCCGCCCCCAATGTAAACATCTTATTTCAGTTGAGTCCCACTAATTATTACAAATAATCATATCATTGGTGCACATGTAAACAGACAAACCCTCTTGACAACATCCCACGCGAGCAACTATCATCAACTGGTGCAGAGATTTACTGCAGTGAGACATGGACGCGCTGCGTGACGTTTGGTGGCTGATTGTGTCTGTGTTCATGAAATTAGGGTTTATTTTCCTGGTAGATTATTCTAGGGATACCTGGGTATTCCTGGTGTCCTGCTTAGAAACAGCCCAAGCCATCAGTGCTAGTTCTAAAGAGTAATTTTTATAAATGAGTAACCGAGGTTTCTTGTAATTATTGGAAGGAGAGAGTGCCGAAAAAAAAAAAGTTAAACTCTTTCTGCCTTACAACTGTGGACTAACAAACTTGATGCAGTATATTTCATACTATATTTTCCATAAATAATTGTAATTTTTAAAAATAAGTGAATTAGCCGGTAAGAAATCTGTCTGGCAATATTAGGTATCTAGCTAGTCAATGTAGACGATAGGGAAAGTTAACCGTTTCAGCCCATGCCATCAAAATCTCAGTCAGACCAGGAAACCAAAGTTGGAAGCCCAGGTTTAGCTTAGATACTCAAAAATATCGGCATTACAGTGTAAATATTTTGGCTGTTTAAACTAAAAATCATACCTAAAGATATCTACTGATGAGAAAATGATTCACCATTATATCATTTCATGACAATAAAAGTGCCATGCTCTCACATTAGTCTTTGGACGTTAAAGGTTTCATTCATTAAATACATACTTAAGTATAATCTCTGAGAATTAATTTTCATAATGTCACACACTGGCTAGACTTGATAATCCAAACTAAGGCTTGAAGCAGAAGAATTGAATAAACGTCAGGAACGATACTAAGAAACACCAGCACAAAACTTTAACACAAGACAAAGAACGGAAGACAACTGAGGGTTTAAATACATAAGATGATGAGTAACAGGTGAGACTAATCAATGAAACAACAAATAACTATGGCAAGCAACTAACAAGACCCAATGGAAACTGAAACTAAAACACAGGAACTGAACACAGGCAAAACAAGACAAAAGAGTATCAAAATAAGAGTGGACATATAGGAAATTGTGACACATAATTGCTCTTTTACAAGTATGAATATGTGCACTTTTCACATATTTTAATCAGATATGAACGCAGTGTTGTGCAAAATGTGTAAATCAGGTTGTGATTGAGCTTTCAGTTACAATGGACTAAAACATGGACAATGAATAACTGAAATATAAACCTTGTTTTTCGTAGTATTGTACTCATTATAGTATTAATAATCCAGGAGATCAGCATGACAGTTTTCACATGTTTTACTGTGAATGTTGATATGTGTTTAAATACGCAAAATGATTAAATATTTGGTGTAAAATTTGTTTTGTCAACTAAAATGTTTATAGACTAATATTAGATCCCATTTTATTTATTAGTAAAATTGACTAATATGGAATGAACACTGACTAAATTTAAAGAATATTTTTATTAAATGAAATGCACTTGTTGACAGCCAGGTTTGTTCTCTGCAATGAGCAATAAAGCCGGTTGCTGTTTGTGTTTGAGTTCTGCCGTGCGCCCTCTTGTGGCCTGTTGATGTAAGGTCTGGTGTTCTCTGATCTTCTCATCTAACTCAGTGCTTCTCAAACCTGTTCTGGAGACATATTGCATGCTGTGGTGGAGTCCTAACCATAAAGGTTGTTTACTATTACCCAAGCACTCCCTTAAACCCCTCATTAAAAAAAAAATGGTATAACGATAACAATCCTTAGAAATCGTAATACGCAAACTTTTTTTGAAAAAAAATTCTAATTCAAAAGAATCATAGTTTTTTTTTTCATAGTCATAGTTCATAGTTTAAGTCAGCTACATAAAAACTTAGATTAGCCTAATTTGATACCGACTGGCTGCCCCAGACTAACTGATAGTGGGTCACACTAGAACTTTAGACACTGTATTAACATAATAGCTATGTTTATGCAACCAGCCCCAGGTCTTAGTCTCCACTAATGAGCTGATGATCTAAACCAGGCGTTAGATTAGGGGAACACTCGAGTGTGTGGTGACAGGTTTGAGATTTAGAAGCACTGGATGTATAATTTGGGTGTGTATCAGTCAGCTCCCTAGTTCACTAGTCAGGGCACTGATCAGGGAGTCGGCCATTTTAAAGGTCGTCTCAATCGCAGAATCCTTCCAGTGCACTGAAACGTTCGCTCCCTAAAAAGTCCCACAATGCACTGTCAAAACCAGCGAGAAACTTGAATCAGGCGAGCCAGCTCACTGCACATAACGAAACGTGATAGATGCTCTTAAAAATACAAACCATTATTTTATTATATTTCTGCATGACCATACGGCGCTAGACAGGTAATGGACATAATCTAGCTATGGTTGGATATTGGTTGAATTTTAACGATTCCGATTCTGCTTATAGAACACAATTCTTATCGATTTCTAATTTCGATTCCAATAAGGTAAAAAAAAACTTGGATATCGTTCACTTTTAGTCTTATTGCAAAACATGTAAATGAATATCATGAGCAGAAATCATCAGCTAAAGAACACTTACACAAGCAGCGTTTGCCTGCGGTTTAAAAACACCATAGAAGAACAACTAGCCGAACTAATCAAGCATTATTAAAGACAAGTAAACACTCAGTAATTTGAAAAGAACAAATAAAAAATGAGCAATCGCAACAAATAGATACAACTGAACAAAGATACGATTGAAATGAACAGTGTTTTAAGGTTTTCAGAAACTGATCAAATGTAAAATAACAATGCAGTTTATAAATAAAATATTAATTTTTTTTAAATATATATTTTTTGCATTTATTCAGTCAAGAACGAGTGAATTTTCTCTCTGTCTTCTGTCATTTGATTAGTGTTATTATAGAGACGGCAGGAATATGAGTGCTGTCACTTTAAGAGCTACACAATATAGTTACACACGCCTGCACTGAACACAGCGCGTCTCGCACTTCCATGGTTTAAAATCACACCAAAATTTTCTGCGAGTGCATTTTGGATGTGTGTGCAGCACAGAGAACAGCACACGAGTCGTCTCGCGCTCGAATGGTTTAAAGTCATATTGAAATGCTCACAAATTAATCGATGAGAGGATTCGAAATTTTAATTGTATAACAAGTATTCGATTCCGAACCCTAAATCTAGCTAACATTTACAATTTATTAACGGCTGAAATGTTGCACGTATATGCAACAAGCAAATTATTTATCATACTGTGCTTTAAATAACATTACAAGTAATGTCAGAAATATACAGGTGAAACTCTTAAATTAGAATATGGTGCAAAAGTTAATTTATTTCAGTAATTCAACTTAAAAGGTGAAACTAATATATTATATAGACTCATTACATGCAAAGTGAGATATTTCAACCCTTTATTTGTGATAATTGTGATGATTATGGTTTACAGCTTATGAAAACCCCAAAATTCAAAATTAGAATATTGTAAAAAGGTTTTTATAAACTCTGCGTTGATGTTGTACAATGTGTCATGAGCCCGCGTCCTTTACTGTCCTTACCGATGCCGAATCCATGAACACGATGCACTGATTCAGGAGCTCGGGAGCTGATTGAGACGCACCCATTTTCATATTTAAGTGAAAATTTCTTAATTAATTTTCTCAGCTCTGCCGGGGAAGATGAATTTCTCATTTTAAGTGTATTGCATACTCCGTTTTCTGCACTTCATAGAGAAAAATCTAAGAGGGGAGAAGATTCACCGCAAGGGAGTCCGGGAACGAGCCAAAGAAAGGAGGAAGAGCAGTCCAGAGAAAAAGGACAAATGGAAACCAGACGACGGCTCTCTGTTCACGCAGCTGGGTGAGTGTGTGGCCCTGCGGTGTCCTCGTGTGTGCAGATCTGCCGGAGAACCCTTCTGCTGTCCGACAGGAGCAGCTGTGGAGATGTGAATGGACAATTCAATCAGATTCAAAAACTTCTTATTAAAGAAAATCAGAATGATTCAGTTCGATTCAATACACTGCCCAGCGGTGCAATTCAGTTGCGCTTTTAAAATGCATTTTTATGGTTCTTAAAGTTCCCCTGTAGTCAACAATTTTATCCCCAAAATTACATATATATATATATATATATATATAATAAAAAAAAACTTTACGCCTTAAAATATATTGAATGTAACTCTTGCCTCATTTAGTATACGCTGTTGAATGAATAGGCAAATGAGTTGGTATATCATCTCTTGAAAATTATTTATTGTCAAATATGTGTAAACTCCTCTTAGGAATTTCACTTGATACTCAGCAATGGTGTTCAGAGGTGTAAAGTCCTGGATTTGCTAATTAGCACAGTTCTCCAGCCAGAGAAGTAATTAGTGTAATCAGCCGGCTGCAATAGCATCTGGCTGCAGACAAGTGCCGTCACTTGCACTCTCGGACTTGCACGCTCAGACACGAGCGCTTCCTCTGCAAGTGACGTCACTTGCAATCGACGCCTGCTCTCTACGGAACGTTCAACAGCGAACGTTCGCTGCTCTCTATTGCTCTGATCGGAGCCAATAGTCTTTAAACAAAACGCGTGAAATTTGACCGCGTCAACACGCAGTGTTTGTCCGCGGCAATTTTTTACGTGTTTCTTTTGAACGCGTAGACACGCTCATTTTGGTCGTGTTAAGGTGTCATTTGTCATTTTGTTGACAGTTTTTTTCAAATTGCTAAAACACTACAAGTGGAATTTGAGGCTCACTCAGTGAAACCATTCACTCATGTACCCAATCTTTAGACCAAGCCTGCAAAAATACAAGGACATTATATGCTTTGCACTCAGTTTGCATTTGAAAAACAAACTATTTGCAAAACTCTAAACAAATTTCTCTACATTACATACATCATTCAAAACTAACAGCTCTTGTGTTTCATCTGGGAAACACTGGCATTTAAATGCCACATTACCAAATTACCACATTTACTGATGACCTACAGCCAATAATCATGTGGGAAAACACTTGTACATAAATTGATCATTTAGAAATCAAAACTCAGTTATGAGAAAGAAAGAAATTATTTTTACTATTATAATATATTTAATTATTTTTTATTATTTTCAAGACATTTTGGACAATTTCATGCTCCCAACTTTGTGGGAACAGTTTGTAGATGAAAAACATCAAGATGATGCATTTTTATTTTATTTTTTATTGTAAATGTCAATTTACAGTACACAGTTAATGTGCAAAACAGACAAATACAAGGTACAAATAGACAATATACAACATATATAAAAACACATTAGCACATTATTCACTTTGCTCTAGTGTAGTTCGACAGTTTACCTTTAATTTCATGACATCGACTGCATGTTCAAGAAACATTTGCATGTCATTCATTACAGTAAAGATGAAGCAAAAGGGTTCCAGAGCATCGATTCTGTCCTGTGGAAACTCAGCCTTCTCTAATCTCTCAATGGCTTCCGCAATGTCTTGTTCCTCCATACACACTACTTTGGGCAAATGAACAGAACCATGCAGTGCACTAGATTGATCCAAACACCACTTGCTGGCTATCTTCAAATCTGGCATCAATCGACTCTGTGAAATAACACGGAGAACAAGGGATTGCAAGTGACGCCACAGCCGGTAGCGGAGAGCAGGTGTCGACTGCAAGTGACGTCACTTGCAGCGGAAGCGCTCGTGTCTGAGCGTGCAAGTCTGAGAGTGCAAGTCTGCAGCCAGACCCTTCTCGCCGGCTGAGTTCATGGGTGGAATAAACATATGGCAGGACTTTTACTTTCTGACCCCTGGACTGTACACCTCTGATGGTGTCGAATTATGAGTTTACACATGGTTTGTCTTAAAGCGTATTAATAACACCACATAGACACATAAACAACATTAAACGCTGGATTTACACCACAGGGGGACTTTAAAATACTTCCTCTAATGTTTCTTAGGCAAGACAAACTACTTCAGTGTTGGCTGTTGTGCCTAACGTAAATACAGCAGAGGTTCTCAACATTTTTTAAATATATTTTTTGAGAGATTTTTTCCTTGAGGAAATTTGCCTGATAGGCCCCAATTAATGGATATTGAATCGAACTCGAATCAAAATGTAGGCTTTTTGTTAAAAATCGAATCATGAAATTTGTGTCAATGCCCAGCCCGCAAATATTGATATATAATCGCAACCTTTTGGTGAAATTGTGCAGTCCTACAAACAAACATATTTTTTAACTCTTTTTTAGCAGAAAAATCGCAATCCAGTATTTCCCCCCCGAACCGTTCAGACTCGGGTGTAGTCCCGCAGGAGCCAGGTTGAACATCCCTGCTCTACGCAGTCGATCCGTGAACCGTACGGACCCGCTGCCCCACGCTCGCGATTCGGGGATTAAGTGCTAAGTTTAACCATCAGAGTGAAAATGTATTTATTCTTGACAGTTTACACATTCAAGTGATTTTAAAACATTCAAGCCAAAGAGGCGAAAGAGAGCGCTGTTATCTGAGCGTGCAGAGAGAGACGCGTTACAGATTTAAAGTTACTCTTGATTCGAATTGATTCGTCTTTCGCGTCTCCTTGTGCTTAAATGGACACATACAGGTGAAACTGGAAAAATTAGAATATCGTGCAAAGTTCAGTAATTCAACCTAAAAGGTGAAATTAATATATAGACTCATTTCATGCAAAGTGAGATATTTCAAGCCTTTATTTGTTATAATTTTGATGATTATGGCGTACAGCTTATGAAAACCCCAAATTCAAAATTAGAATATTGTGAACAGGTTTTCATAAGCTGTAAGCCATAATCATCAAAATAATAACAAATAAAGGCTTGAAATATCGCACTTTGCATGGAATGAGTCTATATAATATATTAGTTGAATTACTGAACTTTTGCACAAAATTCAAATTTTTCGAGTTTCACCTGTATACACAAAATTATGTTAAAATGCCCTTCTCAGCAAATATTCTTATAAACGCAGTCGGTTATGTCTTAAGTGAGTTGAGGAAGAAATGGGATGTGTAACAGTGTATTAGATCCGTGCATTTGGTCCTAAAGTGTCAGCGGCCTAATATTCCTGTCAATAATGTTAATCAAACAACAAAACACATCTTTAACAAAGACTAATCTATATTTTATTTATACAGTGAACACTATAGTGTTATTTTACATGTGTGTATCGGATTACGACTGTTAGACCTTACTTTATTATATTGTATTTATCTATGCTTGTAATTTGTGTATTTGTTCTTATTTTATCACTGACTATTCACTTGTTTCTAAGCAATTTGCAGTGGTGTTGAAGTACTTAAAGTGGGCTTTAAGTAATAAATGAAAAGCAAAGTTGCATTAACCCCCCCCCCCATCCCCCCCCCCCCCCCCCCTTTTTTTTCTCCCTGGTCTGAAAAAATGATCCGATCCGTGACTCAAAAACCATAATATGATCTGAACCGTGAGTTTTAGTGATCAGTTGCACCACTACACCAACAAAAAGCACTTTGTTCATTGAGACCCAGGCGAGGAACGGTCCACTCATTGTGTAATGCACATCTCCTCCGCAGGTTTCTCCAAATCCTTCCCGCTGGACGGTTCGCTGTTCGACAGCTGGCTGGCTCGGTCGGTTCACATCACTGCGGATAACATGCTGAGCCAGTGGTCTCTCTCCGGGGAGAGCGACGACCCGTCCGCCAGCCTCCTGCAGGGCGAGGAGAACCTGCTCAGCCTGATGATGGACCACTCCATGAAGTCCACCTGGAAAACTCCTCAGCTGGGACGCAAAGCAAGAGGCGTGCCGCGCACCCGCCGGAAAGCCGCCTCGCTTCCTCGGACCGGATCCACGGTTAAAGGCCAGGTTTGGTCCAAACGAGGAGAGCGATCGCTCCACCGGCACAGCCGTAGCGAAGCCAGGCCCGACCCGCTTCAACCAGCCATTTCCAAAATGGACTCGTGCCACATTTCCGAGGAGCACGGGTCTTGGGACGGCACTGGGGATGCGGATTCGCAGGTGCCCTTACGTCTACGCCTACCTAGACCAGGCAAGTCCCGCTCTAAGAGTGAGACTTCGCTGTTGAACAGCACATCTGCACCGGACACCGAGACGGATGGATATTTCTCCGACGCAGAACAGAGTGACACTGAATTTCGTTCGTCCAGGCGAAAGCTACGCTTGCCCCAACTGCATGCTGGGAAGGAGCAAGTAGTGCGGCGAAGCGTGCTCGCCTCCTAAAGCTATTCCCGGATGCCGCTTTAGTGTCGTCGTGTCATCAGAACGAGGCTCGGTTTCTCAATGCATACGTTTCCAGACCCTCAGCTGTAATGGCTTGTGTTCTTATCCCTGTTTTATCTGTCAGAGTATATTAGCCAGTCGCCGACATTTATGCAACCATAACCATTTGTGCTTGACATAACAACGAGGAACAAGAAGTCGTCGAATTGAACACTGTTGGATGTGTCCTTTTGGGAAGCAATAGGATCTGTCCTGGAACCGGGACAATGACGTGGGCATTATAACGTCTGTTCAGGTTGTGTTTGTTTTGAATGAACATGTATGTTGTGTGTCTTCAGAGGATGTGGCTACTTTAAAATGATTTACAAGAGAAAATATGACACAAATAAGCACAAATAGCCGTTGGGGAATGTAGCACACGTCATATCCATTCGCTTTGGCTAGTCTAGACGTACCAGCATCACGAGCAGGGCCCGCTTCAGCCTGTGTGTGTGTGTGTGTTTGCCAGTGGACAGATCTGAGCACAGTTGGGTTAGTCTATCTCAAGTGGTCCTAAAGAGTTGGTTGCTTGGTCATTTTTATTTCCCCCCAGATTTCCATTAACTAGCTTTGTAACCAGCTAAATCTTAAACAAATTTTTACAGCCAATAGAGTTGCATATGTGAATATTTAAGCAAAGTCTCTAAGTTGACGTTCTGCACGTGCCTGATAAACCCTTTGGGAGCGTCACAGTTTCGTCACACACAACCGTCGCCGAAGACAAGCTTTTAAACGCAGATCTTTATGGTCGCAAGCCATTAAACGGACAAACCGGACTGATGAAACTTGCGACGATTACCCTTCTATTAAAGCATGAATCTGATGTAAACAATAGATCTACAGAGTATTCACATATCAGCCCTACATATTTAAACCTTAAACATTTTTATCTCACAATTCAAACTTTTTTTCTCGCAATTGGGAGTTTATATCATAATTCTGAGGGAAAAAAAGACATGAACTCGCAGTTCTGAGGGGAAAAAGTCAGAATATTGAGTTTTATAAACTCGGAATTGCAAGAAAAAAAGTCCGAATTCTGAAATATAAACTTTTAATTGTTTATTCTGTTGCCGTCCATCGACTGCTACCCATTATTTCTTGTAATACGGCACAGCAACATAGTGTCGGCCCAGATACGGCCCACATCCGGTACACATGGATTTCACACGGCCCGGATCTGGGCCGACACTGTTTAATATGCCGAGACTATTTTTTTGCCACCAGATCCGCCCACAAAACACCCAATTGGTCTACATATCTACAATAGGTACAACATTACGGCTGAGACTCGAATCCTTCCTATCATAAACTGACCGTGAAGTTGAGCCCTGAGCGGTCGTGGTCATTGCATTTTGACAAGGAACAAGAATGTATCAAATGTTTCTTTGTGTATTTTGTAATGTACTCTACTCTAAAGATCAGTTTTTGTTTCAAGGAACATCTTGAGTCAATACTGAGGTTTCCGTAAACGTCTGTGTAACAAAAATACCAAATGATAATTTTTCAATACCAATACGTAGAGGTAATCGCATTAGAAATGGCTGGGCAACCTCCACTGGACCACTTGTGACGCTGTGACCCTGTTACATCTAAAGATAATGTCTTACTTTTTTCTTACTTTTTGTGAGATTCAAACTTGTTTTGGTCCATTTGTCCAGAAAAAAACTGTTGTCATTCTCCATGAAAGCGTGCCTTCTGTAGGTCTACTAAATCAAGCTAATAATCCACATGTTTAGTCATTTTAACACGATGAAGGCAATCAGAAATGGTCCGCAAGCTCATATGAAAGTGTGTAGAAAACAGCATCCAACAATCATCAATCCTGCTGTTCCTAAACCAACGTCAGTCAGTTCTTCAGTTCGTGACGTCTCGTGAATCAGCTCATGGTGTTTATCTCAGGGTTAAAGAGAAGAAGTGATCGCAACCATGTGAAGAGTGAAAACCTGTACATTCACCAACAACACCGTGTTTCTTTGGCAAGTGTGTTGAGAGGATCTGATGGGAATGAGGAAACACTGAGTTTCGCTTTTTTATTTTTTATTGTATGATGATGCCAAAGAAAGGCAAGTCAGCAAATGCTCTGAAGTGGATGTAAACACTGTGTCCTGATCTCCTGAAGATCTCGACCCGCACTGGTGTCCACCTGTACACTCCTGGATCGCATCATCAGTCGAGCACACACACGTGAGGAAGGCGGACGCTCTGTCCTGACATGTTTTGTTTCCGAGACAAAACCAACTGATATGTGGCGTACGTGAGCAGAGTGTGTGTTCTCTCCGCACACCTGAGGGATTCACCCAACTAGGACTCTTCTGTCCTCATGTATTCAGTCTCATGTCGTTCCAAACCCGTATCAATGTAAATGGGTCCAAATAAGAAGCCGTGGTCCATGCGCTACATTCCAGTTAAAAGTCTTTATTGACTGAAAACCTTCCCTTCCACCATTGATCTCCGACGTTGTGAGATTTTGCAAACCACATTGTAACTAAAGGTGTGCTATGTCTTCTGATAAACAAACAATTTTGTGAACCACAGAAGAGTCATATGGGTTTGGAACGGCTCCACGGTGAGAAGAACGAACTCCTCGTTCTGACTCTTCATTGGCTTAAAGGAGTAGCTCACTTCAGAGGAAAAATCTCCTGATAGTTTACTCACCCGCACGTCATCCAAGATCTTCATGTCTTAATTTCTGCAGTGGAAAAGAAATGAAGGTTTTTGAGGAACACACTCCAGGGTTTCTCCATATAGTGTCTTCAATGGGGTCCAACGGGTCGAAGGTCCAGATGTGAGTTTCAGTGCAGCTTCAAAGTCTCGACACGATCCAGCCGAGGAATAAGAGTCTGATCTAGACAAACCAGCCGACATTTATAACACAATACACATTTATATACTTTTAACCACTAATGCTGGTCTTGCACGAGCTGTGATGCGACACACATTACGCAATCAGGTTGAAAGGTCAAGTGTGACCTAGGCGTAAGAACCGACCCAGTGTTTATAAAGCGAACGTGCACAGTGTTTATAAAGCGAACGTGCAAAGACTAAGTAAAAACATTTACCAAAAAAATAATAATTAAAAGGTAAAACGACGATTTTAAGGTTGGAGAAGAAAATCGATTTTTTTGCCCTACTCTACATTTATAAACCGGAACACGCGTGACCTTTCAACCTTATTACGTAATGTGTGTCGCATCACAGCTAGAGCAAGACCAGCATTAGTGGTATAAAAGTATATAAATGTGTATTGTGTTATAAATGTCCGCTGGTTTGTCTAGATCAGACTCTTATTCCTCGGCTGGATCGTGTCGAGACTTTGAAGCTGCACTGAAACTCACATCTGGACCTTCGACCCGTTGGACCCCATTGAAGACACTATATGGAGAAACCCTGGAGTGTGTTCCTCAAAAACCTTCATTTCTTTTCCACTGAAGAAAGAAAGACATGAACATCTTGGATGACGTGGAGGAGAGTAGATGATCAGGAGATTGTGACTCTGAAGTGAGCTCCTCCTCTAACTCGTGCCGCTGTCTGACCACAGACCGCGACCTGTACAGATCTCATGTATCTCAGCTGCTTTAATAGGAACTAATCATAGATGCTGGTCATTTGCCGTTCTCTGGTTCAGTCATGGAAAACTGTGCCTTTAGTGAAATAGTTTCAGCCGCCTGCAAGAGCTCACGCTTCTTTATCATGCTTCGTTGTACCAAAACTATAACATATACTCTACGTAATCTCTGTAAATGTTCAGCTTCTGTGCAAATCATGTTCCTCCCACAGCGTAACAGGGCGAGAGTGCCGAAGTAGATCTCGTGTTCGTTGGCAGATTTGTTGTTATTGAGCTATCCACTTCGACATCTTTGCACTTATTGTTCTTTTGTCTCTATTGCTGGCGTTCGTTTATAACTAAACTGGTAATCAAGACCAACAAGGGGTGTGCGATATTGACCAAAAATATTTTAATATTTCCTGCTAACAATAATTAGATGATGCCTGGTTTAGGCCAAGCGGCAACCCTCCCATCTCTCATAAATCAACGCTGAAGCGACTTAAACTGCAGTTCCTCCACTGGCCACTAGAGGCCGGCTCCAAAAGAGAGTCAATCCCATAAACCCGCATGTTAAAATGCCCAACTTTACAGCAGAAAAACACATGTTTACAGTCTGGTGCAAAAAGTGGTTTTGGTCTATATAGCTAATGTTGCCCTTCATGACGACTGAGGCGGGTGAATATTTTTATAACTCATCCGTTTAAATTATATTAAGCCTTAAAGTTCTGCATAATTAGGGGCGTGGCCAGTTGAGTGACAGGTGGATTGCCGCTGATGTCACTACTAGCCGTTTGTCTGCTGTGTGTTAGCGTCACGTCACCTCAGCTAATCCGCCTCTCGTTTATCCGGGAGTGACGCGCGGCCAAGATGGCGACGGCCGGCTCCGCCCACTTTGGGCTTCAAAAACGCTTGTCACAAAAAGTGACGCCACAGAATATGTCCATATTTTTATACAGTCTATGGTTTAGGCCCGTCATGGACAGCTGACTCACGAACACGTTCATATTCTGGTAGTTTAATGTTTTAAAAAAACCTTTTGGATGTATGAATATTAAAAATGAAATACTTTAAATATGAAACTAAAACCCCGAGTAGGAAGTGGCAAATCACTGTGTTAATGAGTGAGTCACTGAATCATTCACTCAACTGATTCGTTTGATTCAGAAACTCTTAACGGCTCTGCTGTGGCTTTGAACAGACATTACTGTGTCTAAAATGTATAAAATCAATATCACATTTGCAGTCGTGCTGATATTTGGGAAAACGGCACACTTGCTCATGTGACATTGCTTAACTCTATCATATGATATAAATATAAAAGATGAAAAGTCATACAGAGCATTTTCCGCCTTTGAGTTTCAGGGGTAATGCTAACTTACTAGGCTGCGTCTCAGTTCTCTCTAGACGTGTTTGGTGTGTGACATACTCAATAATGTCAGCTCACATTGGTAAAAACAACAATTCCTATATTACCGTATACGCCACATCGCACACCCCTTTCCTTCCGCTGCGAGTGGATCCATGAGGAAAGTTACAATCTACAGCTGGCCTCATAATAATCACTTGCTCCTTAATGCACACAGTTGAATCTGGCTGAAGAAGAGTCATATTTCATCCACAGAAATAAATTATATTTTGCATAAAGAAAAAGAAGGCATTTTTTAGGAAGATTAATTTGTTTGGCATTTTCCACAGCCAGATATGCGTCAGTGTTGTGGTTTAGCGAGGGCCGGTTCACTGATGCTCTGGAGGTCTCGTGTGTCGCACAGTAGCTTTTGCTGGCATATCGAAGTCTGAATTCTCTCTCCTGACATGTTTACTGGTAATACAGATCTTAAATGAGTAAAGCTCATGAGGTGAAGCACTAGCAGGCTTTAGTCGATTAAGATCCACTTGTACATCCATCGCTCGACACGGTTACGATATGATGAAATGAATGTTGCAGGAGTTTATCCTTCTATGTTCTTTGTTTCAAAGAATGCTGTGCCATTTGTTAATAGCAGAGAAAACTATTGAACATATAAAATAAAAAAAGAGCTATTTTAAATTATTTTACTTTTTTGTTTGTTTTTTTGCTATATTTATTTTCTTGTATTGGAAATCTTTATAGAAGGAGAAAAAAAAGACAAGTATTTTTCATCAGTGCAAAAACCT